CCCAAAGCCTCCCAAAATCAGGGCAGGGTTTGGGGGGTCCTGGCTGGGCCCGAGGCCACGGGGAGGGGCTGCGGCCGCCGGCGGCTCAGGAGCTCTGTGGGGAGAGAAAAGGGGGTGAGAGCGGGGTGGGGGGACAGGGGGGACACTGGGATACACCGAGACCTGGACTGGAGCCAGCGGGACCAGAACTGGGGCAACAGGGGTCATACTGGGAGCAACTGGGAGCATGTTGGAGGCAACTGGGATATACTGGGAGTGTCTGGGAGTGAGTGGAACCATAATAGGGGTGAATGGGAGCAACTGGAACCACGCTGGGGGCAACTGGGATCATCCTGGGAGCAGCTGGGCCCCTGCTGGGCTCATACTGGGATCACTCTGGGACTGACAGGGATCATCCTTGGAGTGACTGCCGTAACACTGGGAGTATGTGAGAGGCACTGCAACCATATTGGGAAGTACTGGGATCAAACTGGATTCACTTCTTGTGAAGATTCTTTACAGGCAGGAATTTTGGTAAAACCAGAGACGGTTCTTGCAGCTGTGAAGAGACTGATAGAAAGTGAGAAAGGACAGAAAACAGATCCACGAGACTGGGTCTAGGCCTTGGAGCAGTTGCAGAGGGCAGGAAACAGTGCCAGAAACACAGGGGGAAGAGAAGAACAGAGCAAGAAAGGTGCTGGTGCCTGGCCCCAGGGGTCGCTTCGTGACCTCCGAGGCAATTCCAGGGGAGCGTAGGGTGGGTGGAAACTGGGGTGGAACAGGGAGGTAATCGAGTCCAACCCTCAGCCCTGCCCAGGTCCATCCCCAAGAGTCACAGCCTGTGCCCCAGAGGATCATCCAAACTCTCCTGGAGCTCTGTCAGCCTTGGTGCTGTACCCACTGCCCTGGGGAGCCTGTTCAGTGCCAACCACCCTGGGGGGGAAGAACCTCTTTCTAACATCCAACCTGACCCTGGCCTGACACAACTCCAGACCATTCCCTGGGGGCTGTCCCTGGTCCCCCCAGAGCAGAACTCAGGGCCTGCCCCTCCTCTGCCCCTCCTGAGGAAGTTGGAACTGCCATGAGGTCTCCCCTCAGTCTCCTCTTGTGCAGCTGAACACCCCAAGTGCCCTGAGCTGCTCCTCCTAAGGCTTCCCCTGCAGAGCCTTCTCCATCCTGGTGGCCTCCTTTGGACACTCTCTACTGGCTCCATCTCTTCCTTCCATTGTGTCCCCCCCGAGTGCCCCACTATTGAGGTGAGGCCGCCCCAGGGCAGAGCAGAGCGGGACAATCCCCTCCCTGGCCTGGCCGGCCATGCTGGGCCTGATGCCCCCAGGACAGGGTTGTCCCTCCTGGCTGCCAGGGCACTGCTGACTCCTGGCCAAGTGGGCACCCCCCAGGACCCGCATGGCCCTTTGCCGGCACTGCCCACAGAGCACTGGCCCCCGGAGTGGCCAGCTGGGGACAGCTGCGTGCCACAGGAGCCCTGGCAGCCCTGGAGGAGCCCGAGATGTGGCAGGGCCTGAAGCAAAGCTTCCCCCGTGCTGGGGGGTGTCAGCAGCAAGGAGGTGCCGCTGTGCCGCTGTCCGGGCTGCGGGGGGGGATCCCCACACGGTCCCGGCGGGCAAAAGGTGCCCCAGAGCAGCCGAAAGGGCCCCCCCTGAGCGGCTGTGCTGGAAGGGGCTGCTCGGGCCGCTTGCAGCCGGTTGTGGGCAGGGGCGTTTCCATGGAAGTGCCAGGGCTGTGTGATGTGGGGCCTGCGGGTGCCCAGGGGCCACTGTGACCCTGCGGGGCCTCCTGGAACCGAGGGCACCTTGTGAACCTTTGGGCCCCGCCCTGGCCTGGGGTGTTTGAGGAGCCCCCCGGGTGGCCAGTCCAGCTGAGGGCCGGGGCAGGAGGAGAGGTCGCTGGTGGGCCGGCGCCGGGCTCCCCAGCCCTGGGCCGAGGCAGCCGCCTCCAGCCCAGGCCTCCTCCTGCCGCCGCCCTCAGCTGCAGCAGCGGCAGCCTCAGGGCAGCCGGGCCGGGCCTGGTCCCTGGGCGGGGAGGGGACAGGAGAGGCAGCACAGTCAGGGCAGGGCTGCCTTGAGTCAATCCTCTGCTGCTTTACAATCTACTCCAAATTCTTTGGATTTCTTTGGGGAACTTTGTTCAACTCAGCTCTGTGCTGCTCAGCGAGAGCACTTTCCATGACCGGGCAGGAATTCTCACCCTCCCCATTGCTCTCAGCCTGAACCCTGGACAGCTCTGAGGTCCCAAAGGGCTCCCTGTGCCCCAGTGCAGACTCGGGAGAGCTGCTCTGCCCACAAGTGACCTGCTGCTCAGCAAGCAGGTTCCCTGTGCTATTTGCACCTCTCTCTTGGTGGATGATCCACTTCAAAGATGCCTGAAAATAAAGTAGGTTTTTGCAAAATCAATTCCTCCCAACTCTATTTCCCTGTGCAGCTGAGCAGAGGGTGATGCAGAGGAGTGCTCAGGCTCTGCTGCCTGGAGCTGTCCCTGCCAGCAGCTGCTTCCCTGGGCCCAGGGCTGGGCCCTGGCAGTGCATCCAGAGCCCATCCCAGCCCTGGGTGCTCAGCTCTGCCCTGCAGAGCCCTCCCAGCACAGGGCACTCTGGTGCCCAGGGGCACCTCTGGCTGGGCAGGCTCTGATGGCAACATCAGAGCAACCCTGAGGAGGCTGGAAAAGCACCACTGCTGCTGCCTGTGAGGCCCAGGGGGCTGATTTCTGACACTCCCTGCACCATTGCCCTCAAAGAAGAACAGCTTTGGATTTTCCATGCTTCCTCCTGAATGGAGACATGAATTGATCTTTCCCATTGCCCATCCCTGGGAACCAGAAGCAGAACACTGGAAGTACAGGATCCTTCCCTTTCAGGATGCCCCTGCCTTGCTGCATTTCCTGAAAATTCCTCTTAGAAACCCCCAGCAGTCATTTGGAGCTGTGATCATTCCTGACATGTGCTGCACCGTCTCGACAGCAGAAGGGCCCTGCCCTGCCTTCCCCTGTCAACTGGGGTTTGCTCCTCGCCCACAGCCCTTCTCCCCCAGCCCTGGAGCAGCTCCCTGGGCCAGCTGAGAGCTGCCCCTGGCAGGCAGCAGAGTCCCTGCCCAGCACAGCACCCTGGGCTGCAGGACCCTGCTCTGCCCCACAGCCCTGGGCACCCCTGGTTGCACCCCCGGCTTCACAGCTCTGTCAAAGTGCTCCCCAACAGCCCCCTCCTCACCCATCCCATCAGCTGGGGCTGGGCCAGCTTTAGGAGGTGCCTCCAGGAGCTGCCCCTGCACTGCCCTGCAGCCCCAGACTGCCCGTGTGCAGCCCTGCCAAGATTCCTCCTGCAGGGAGCTCTCAGTTACCCTCCCAACCCTGAGCCCCTTGAAGCTCTGTGTGTGCCCTGCTGGTGTCCCTGAGCTGCCCTGGCAGTGCCCTCAGCCCTGCTGGGCTGTGCAGAGGAGCTGCTCCTGGGCAGAGCTGTCTCTCTGCAGCGCTGCCCGCTTGCCAGGAGCTCCCTGTGTGCCAGGAGCCCGGCCCAGCTCAGCAGCACAGACACAGCCCCAGGCACTGAATGACCCTCGGGGGTTGGGGATGAGTCCCTGAACATCAGACAGAGAGCAAGTTAAAGAAACCTCTGAAGAATTCCAAGTCAGATCCAAGTCCACAGTTTCTCCTGGCGTTAATGGGTCCCACTGAGGACCAGCACTCAGAAATTGTCCCCTGCTTCCAGTCAGAGCCGAAAACTGGAGGCAGTGATGACAGGTGGGGACAAGCAAAGTCCCGGGGTCTGTGATGCTGAATAAATCTGGCTTTGTTTTGTTCTTGCAAAGGGCCAAGGCCTGACCCCCAGCCCTGGGAAGGGAGATCCTGTGCCTGCCTCATTCCTCAGGGCTCTTGCTGGGGCTCTGGGATGTGGGGATGTGCAATGGCAAGGGCAGGAGCATTGGGCAGCACCTCTGTCTCAGCTGAATGAGACTGAAGTGTTTTGCTAAGGGGGATGAGTTATAGGGAAGACCAAGTTCCTCCCTGTAAGCCATTGTAAATCTGAAATTAAGAGACTCCAATTGAGGAAGTATGGAAAAAGGAAAAATAACAGCTCTTTATTAAATGATATCTGTGTATTGGCAGAACAACAAAAGAACACAAAACCAACCAAACAATGATCCTGTAGCCAAAAATGCCCTTCCAAAGGAAAGAGTTGGGAACTTTCTGCCTTTTGTCGCAATTCCAATCACAGCCAGCAGGGGGCGCTGTTTGGCCTGCCAATGGAGATTCCCCCAAAGCGAGGAGGGAAAAGGGGAAAAGGGGAGAAGGGGAAAAAGGGGCTCTTCCCACGAAACTCCCGCTGTCTGTGGCTGGTTGTGGCCGGGAATTCCCCCCTTTGGCCGATGAACACACGCCACTGCCAACACGAGAGCGGAGGAGGGAAAGGGCGACCTCCTCCCCAAAAGGTTCCTCTCTAGGGGGGTCAAACCTCTCCCATGAAGTCCGAGCAGGTCCGGGCTGGGGGCAGAACAGGGCGCAGGAAACGAAGGCAAACGGGAACCAGCAAACAGCCAGATGAGCAGGCCGAGAACAAAAGGACCTCGGAGCCTCTCCAACACACCCCTTGCCTGAGTTAAGGCCAAAGGGAAGGGCCTTGCCCTTTGCCCAGGAGAAAGCAAAAAACTCCACCCCCCCCAGAGCCTTCTGAGGGCTCCCAACCTGCAATGTGGGCTGGGCCAGTTCTTTTGTGGGTGTGAGTCACCCAAGGCAAAGCCCCCTCCCCCATTGAACATCTTTCTTTTCCAGTGGGGCAGGGGAAAGAAAAATTCCTGCTTGGTTTTTTAGAAGAAGTAAAGCTGTGACAGGGATCCCCTCCCCCCTGCCCTCACTGCCCCCCCCGTAACAGGGACTGAGGAGAACTGGGAAGCTTTCCTGGGAACACTGGGAGCAGCCAGCTGGGGTCAGAATAAAAGCAGGGCCGGGGGGGACACACGGCCCCCAAACTCAGCGTGGGGCTGGACTGGGGGGTCCCGGCTGGGCCCGAGGCCACGGGGAGGGGCTGCGGCCGCCGGCGGCTCAGGAGCTCTGTGGGGAGAGAAAAGGGGGTGAGAGCGGGGTGGGGGGGCAGGGCGGGCACAAAGGCTGTGGGTAAGGGGGGGGACAAAACCGCTGGGGACCCCCCTTTACCTTCTCCCGCAGGTAGAAGCCGAGCCCCAGCGCCAGGAAGACCAAGCCCAAGACGAAGCCCCCGACCCCCACCAGGATCTTGCTGCGGACGGTGTCCGGTGGCATCTCTGGGGGGAGCCGGGGGGGTCAGCACCCCCAAAACCTCCTCCCACGCACCCCCCGGCACCCCACAGAGCCCGGCCCGCTCTCCCCCAGCCCACCCAGGACTCCCTGAAACCTCCTGCCAGTCCCTTCCCAGCCTTTTGCGATCCCATCAAGCCCTTCCCAGCCCCTTTAGGACCCTCCAACCCCCCTCTTATCAGCCCCAGCACCCACCAAACTCCCTCCCAGTTGCTCCCAGTTCCTCCCTTTCTCCCCCGACCCCCCTGCCAGTGTGCCCCCGGGGCTGGGGGGGCCGGGCCGTACCCCAGTGCCGGCTGAGGGGGTGCTCCAGGCTGACGTGCTCCACCTGGCAGCTGTAGGTGACCCCGCGCCGGGGGGGGATTTCCAGCAGCACCAGCACCTGGCAGCTCCAGTCCCCGGTGGGGACCACGTCGGTGGCCACCACGTGCTCCGGCAGCTCCTGCCCATCCTGGAACCACCTCACCTGCACCGGCGCAGGGTAGAAATCCATCCCGGAGCAGAGCAGGCGGCCGGGGCCGGGCTGGGAACTCGACGGCACCAGCGAGATGGACACGCTGGGGGGCACTGGGAGGGACGGGGGAGACACTGGGCTGAGCTGGGGGGCACTGGGAGGGAGGGAAGAGGGCTTGTAGGACATTAGTAGGGATTGGGATGGGAGTGGGAGGGACTGGGATGGCAGTGGGAGGGACTGGGAATAGAGTGGGGGAGAAAGGGATTGGCTGGGGGGGCACTGGGGAGAGAGTTGGGAGATGTGGGAGTGAAGTGAGAACGACTGGGAATGGACTGAGAGGGTCTTGGAATGGACTGTGAGGGTCTGGGAGTGGAGTGAGAGGGACTGGGGTGGACTGGGAAGGAAGCGCTCGGGCCTTGGAGGCTGAGTCGTGGTGAGGGAAGTCTTTGGTTTGGGTCTGCCTGGCAACTGGAGCGTCATCAGAGAGACGCGCTGGGATTGGCTGAGGGGCGTGAGCTCGGTGGCCCCAGCGGGGTGGAGACGCGGGGGGGGCACTGGGAGAGACTGGGATGGACTGGGATGTATTGGGATGGACTGGAGTGCACTGGCAGAAACTGGGAGAAACTGGGAGAGACTGGAGTGGACTGGGAAGAACTGGGAGGGGGGCCAAAGGACATGGGGAATGGCAGAGGGAGGGCTGAGGGGTCTGTGGTGATTCCCAGGGAGGGTTTGAAGGGCTCCAGGGTCATTCCCAGGGCAGGGCCCGAGGGGACCCACTGTGACCCACACTCACCTCTCCACGGTGAACGGAGCATCAGCCTTGTAGTTGTACCGGCAGTACCTGTCCACCGCAGAGCGTTTGTACTCCAGCCATTCCCGTTTACTGTTGAAGTGCCTGGCCTGGATCTCCCCATGTGGGGTGTCCCCCACATAGACCCCCACATCGCTGTCGAAGTGCAGGAACTGTTCCCGGTTGTAGATGTGCCTCTCGACGAACCTCACCTGCTCGGTGCCGTTGATGAAGTGACACTCGTGGTTTGTCATCAGCTGGAACACCCCTGTGTGTGCAGGACACGGGTCAAGGGGTGCCCCGTTCCCCCCCGCCCCTCAGGCCCTATTCCACTCCAACAGAGTGGGAGCTCAGGGGGCCACCCCGGACCCCCCTTTCCCACCCCCCTCTGCCCCACGGACGCCCCAGCACCGGCTCTTGGCTGGGGGGAACCCCCCCATCAGCCCCCCGGGATGGACAGGGGGGTTGGGGACCCCCCCAATGTGGATCCGACCCCCCCAGAGCCCCAATGAACCGCTCCAGGGCTCAAGGGACACCCAGGGACCCCCATGGCACCCCTCTGCCTGCTCTCCCACACCCCCTTGCCCCCCTCTCCCACCCCTTTCCCACTGTCCCCACAATCCCCAGACCCCACCCCCCCTCACTTTGGGGCTCCCACCACCCTCCCACTCACTCTGGGCCTTCTGACCCCCCTCCCACTCACTTCTGGGGCTCCCAACCCCTCCTATCTCCTGCCTTTCCCCCCTTTCCCACCCGACCCCCCTTTCCCACCCCCCTGCTCACCCGACAGCTCCTCGCCCGCAGCCGGGGGGGCTCCCAGCACCACCAGCACCGCCAGCACGGCCCCAGCTCCCCGCACACGCTCCATGCCCAGCGCCGGACAGCTTCTGACAGCCCCAAACCAGCCGGGCGGCGCCGTTTTGGGGGGTTTGGGGCGCGCTGGGCTTGGCTGAGGGCGCAGTTGGGACCCTTTTTTCGAGGCGTCTTCCCGGCGACTGATGAGTCATCAGCGCGGCGCGCTGGGATTGGGCGCGGGCGGCGTGGGCGCTTTGGGATTGGCTGAGGGCCGTTGGGGGCCCCCGCGGCAGCCCCGGGGCTGGGGGGCTCGGGGGGGTCCGTGGGCTGCGGGGGAGGGGGGAGCTCAGGGCCCACCAAAAATGCCCAGTCAAAGCTCCCAAAGCTCAGGGAACCCCAAAACCGGCCACCCAGGGCTCCCACAGATCAGGGGAACCTCAAACAGAGGATCAAGTTGTCCCGGAGCTCAGAGTTGCCCCAAACAAGAGGGAGATGGGGGGCTGAGGATGCCCAATCCCCCTTTTCCCGGCATTTTTGGTTGTACTGGGTCTTAGTTAAACAAGATTACAAATTAGAAATTAAGAGACTTCAGGTGGAAGTGTGGAAAAGAAACAACTTTTTATTAATAAAATCTGAATAAACAACAAATGGTGCAACCAAAAACTTTGAGAAGAAACCAAACAAAGTCCCAAATCCGCAGGTGGGGGGGAGAAACTGTCCCGGCAGTTCAAAGCTCTCGCAGCCCCGTGTGCTCGCAGCCAGCAGTGAAGGAGTCCCTTTTCCCAGGGGCAGTCCCCAAAGCAGAACACCTCGCTCCCAGATGGGTCGGGCTCTCTCTCTCTCTCTCTCTCTCTCTGTCGTTCTCCACGAGGTGTCCCATGGGGAAAAAACTTCCTCTCAGGGAAAGAGAACAAGGTGGTCAAAACCAGCTCCCGCTCTGTCCGGTCTCGGACAAACCCCAAAAGCCCCCGAACAAAGGACCCCCCGCCCTCCCCGCGGCCACCGCGGTGTCCCCGAGAGCCGCCCTCCCCCCACTGCCCCTGCCCAGCGCCTGCGGCGCCGCTCCAACCCACCCCATCCCGGGAGACACAGATGGCAATGGGGGGGACACTGGGAAACAATTCCAACACCTCTTTTCAAACCTCTGACACCTGCTTCCCAGACATTCCCAAAGAAGGGGCTTCCCGTGGCCTCGAGCCAGGGACCAACCTTTGTATTGAACCAACTCCTGGAGAGACACGTTCCCATCCCTGTCCCCATTCCCATTCCTGGGGTTCCCATCCCTCTCCCCATTCCAATTCCTGGGGTTCCCATCCCTCTCCCCATTCCCACTTCCTGCTGTGCCAACCTGCTCCCAGTGTCCCCGTTCCTGTCCCCACTATCCCTATCCTGGTCTCCCATGTCCCCATTCCCATTCCTGGTTCCCGCAGAGGAACTGCCGGATGCCGGAGGAGGGAGCCAGGATTTATTGCCCAAAGCAGGAGATTTTCATACCCAAATTAAAGCCTCAGGAATAATTGTGTGTCGTGGGTCAGAAATTGTGTGAACAGTTTCTGTTGCATTTCTGTGATTTCTCCCCTGGCATGGCTGGGTGCAGGTAGTAAAAAATGCTGCACCACTAATATGGCTGCAGGCCTTGTGCCAAGATGCCAAGGAGGAGTTTTTGGGAGGTGAATAAAGTTTTCTCATCTCCTATGACCACCTGTTGTGGTCCAATTAGCAGTGGACAGCAGAGCATGTTTTCCTTATGTTACCAATGTAGTGTGAACAAGAAGCTGAGCATCATGAGCACTATATAATCTGTGTTTCTCCTAATAAATCCGACATTTGCCTGATCATATTGATCCTGGAGCAATCTGTCCATACCCTTCCATCAACAATTGGTGCCCAAACAGGGACTCCAAGTTCGTCAGTTCTTCGGGACGTGAGGCGAGCAGGAAGAGCCGAAGGAAGCAGCTGTTACAGGCAGCACTGCCCCAGTGCTGTGAAGAAGGCCGTGCATGGCAAAAATTCAAATCTCCCCCTGATCCGGTGAGTCAGCTGGTGGGAGCATGGGGGTCACACCTTCCAAAGACGAAGAAGTAGTGCAAAGGCTCCTACAATATATAGTCTCTCTAAGAGAGCCAAATTATGATAAAAAAACCCTTGAAGGGTTAATAGTTTGGGTGAGAGCTAAGAAGCTAATTCCGTCCACTCAAGCCGCCTTTGAGGTATCCATGTGGGATGCTATTAAGGAAGAGTTATGGGACGAGATTTCTAAGGGATCAAAGGACGCTAAAAAATACCCTCCGATTTGGCGTCTGATAGTTGAATCGCTGCAAGACTTAAGTACGGAACAGCGAAAACTTATAATTGCTCAAGGAACTTTGTCGGGAGTTAGTGAGACTGCGGCGTGCCTCCGAGCCGATAGGTCTGTTAGCGGGGAGGTCCTAGTGCCTGCAGAGACTGTAAGAAATGCAGGAGCAGCGGAGAGCGACGCTGGCACTCTGCCAGTGCCACCGCCCTTCACTGCGCCTACTCTGCCAGCACTACCATCTTCCATTGAGCCTGCGCAGCCAGCAGCCCCTCCTTCAGCCGCGCCTGCTGTGGGCACGGAGTCATCAACTGCTTCTGAGCGTGCGTCGCCCGGAACAGAGCTGCCGGGAGCCTCCGCGCCGCTAGGTGTCGCTGCACCGCTGCCGCCTGGAAGCACCATGTCGCCTGAAGTTACGTCATCAAGAGCCGACGCCTCTGAACCAGGAAGAGACCCTCAGAAACTTGTTACTATAACAACGAGATCTATTTTGAAAAAAGCTGCTGCTACACCGATTGAAGCTGCCGCGGGAGAAATTGCCAGCTTCGTACCAACACTCCAGCAAAGGAAGAAAGAAACACTCTATCAAGACAACGTGGAACAGCGATCTTCCCTGCTCCCGTCTGCCAACTCACCCTCTGAGAAGGAGAGCCCGGAAGATAAAAGCGACAAGATTACTATGCTTGCAACAAAAGATCAAGTGGACAATTCGTTACGCTGTTTCGAAGAGCTTAAGTCTCATTTCACAGAGAGACAGTTCGTGCCGCAAAATCCAGGTTTTTCCCAGGTTGCAGCTTTGCCAGCAGCGCCGGCATTGCCCCCTCCAAACCCCTCTCCTGGGATGCCCAGGGTGGAAACTTCTGGTTTGGGGGTTCCAGCCTTGCCAGGTGGAGGGAGGAGGAAAGGGGGGGTGAGAGTTAGTCCAGCACAGAATTGGAGAAACATTCTACAGGCTGCTGCCTCTGAAGGGGATTTTAAGCTCTTAGAATCTAGTGCCTTTCCTGTATTTATAGATAATGCAGGAAATAATTCCTGGGAAGCTATAAATTGGAAGCTCATAAAAGAGGCAATGGCAGCTATTTCACAATATGGTTTAAAAAGCAGTTATTCACAATCAATAATACAACATCTTTTTTTCTGCGCATCTGCTAACACCATATGATATTCATATAATTGTATCTATGTTACTTTCCCCTCCCCAGCAGCTGGAATTTTTCATCGAATGGAGTACCAGTTGTGCTACAGTGGTTGCACAGCCTAGGCAGAAAGGACACCCTCTCTTTGGTGTTTCTATTGACATGCTCATGGGTTTTGGTCAGTACAACAGTGCATATTTGCAAAATCAGTTTCCAGATGAGGTATTAAAAACTAGTCAGGCTTTAGCTTATAAGTCATTGCTTATCATAAGAGATGCAAAGTCAAGACTCCCATGTATTTCAATTAAGCAGGGACCCACAGAACCGTACGATCAATTTGTAGATTGTTTAAATGAGTCAATAAATTCAGATCCAGACATAGATAATAACATGAAAGCAAAATTCTTAAACATGCTGGCCTACAATAATGCTAATGAAAATACAAGACAGGTTTTGGGTACACTACCTAGGAGTGCTACTACAGCCCAGTTTTTAGAAGCTGCTGAAAACATGGTCCAACAAGACAAAGCAACCTATTCAGCTGATGCTACAACTGCAGCTATAAAACCCCTTTTGTCTGTAGAGACTGACACTTCTTCAGATTCAGACATAAGTTCTGATGATGATGAAAAAAGAAGTTAATGCTGAAGTTTAGAACAAGTCAGCAACATTCCCAGAATTTTTTTTTTTCGGAATTATTGAATAATAGAATTAGTATACTGGAGTTTGTTGTAGAATACAGCTGTTATAGGTTTAGACTTATTAGCACGAGAGTATTTAGTGAAGACATTAGTGATTTAAGATTTTTTCACACACTTTTGCACAAAGAAAAAGGGGGAAAAGAAGGATATCAGTTCTTTTCTATTGATTTGCAAAAGTGTTTCATATGTTTTAAGTTTTTTGTCCACAGGTGTTCTCTGATTATCTGCACATGGATGAGGCTCTGGAAAGAAGCTGGTTCTTCAAAACAGAGCTTCAAAACAACATCAGTGTTGTTGCTGTTGCAGGTGACAGTGAATTGCCAAGAGGGCACAGTGTTTAGTCTTATAGAGAGCGCAATTTTTAGGTATTATGAGCACAATTTTTTGAAGAAGTACATAATTATAGAGGTTTAGAATTTAAGAAGGTGTGTTGTGTGAACTTTAGATTATTCACTATATATTAGTAAAAGAAAGTTTATCTATTTGGTTAGGAAACTTTAACATCATAAGGTACTGGAGAATTGTAACTTTTTAGCTCATAAAACACACATATGGAATTCAAAAGTATGATTGTGCGGATGTTGACAGTGGCCACTGTGAGAGTTTGTATGTGTGTATGTGTGTGTGAATGCCTGATGATTAATGTGTTTTGATCCAACAACTACAAAACATCTCTAAATAAACACAAAAGACACATAACAAAAATAAATAAAGTTCCATTTCCAGAAGTGTTTTATACTGAATAAAGATGTTCAAGAAGAAATCCTATATTTAGAAAAGCACTTTTAAGAAAATTTAAGAGCACAAACCTTGAAATTAAGTTTGTTAATGTATTATTATTGTTATATGTAATCTTGTTTATTGATATGTTATTGGTACATTAAGGAGTATTACAGAAATGCAAATCAAATTGTTCAAAAACAGAAAAGGGGATTTGTTACAGGATGAAAATTGTGTGAACAATTTTCTTTACATTTCTGTGATTTCTCCCCTGGCATGGCTGGGTGCAGGTAGTAAAAAATGCTGCACCACTAATATGGCTGCAGGCCTTGTGCCAAGATACCAGGGAGGAGTTTTTGGCAGGTGAACAAAGTTTTCTCATCTCCTATGACCACCTGTTGTGGTCCAATTAGCAGGGGACAGCAGAGCATGTTTTCCTTATGTAACCAATGTAGTGTGAACAAGAAGCTGAGCGTCATGAGCACTATATAATCTGTGTTTCTCCTAATAAATCCGACATTTGCCTGATCATATTGATCCTGGAGCAATCTGTCCATACCCTTCCATCAACACCCAGGTGTGTTTGTGTTACCAGGTGTGTGTGTGACTCCCCAGGTGTGTGTCTGTGACCCCCCAGGTGTGTGTGTGTGACCCCCCAGGTGTGTGTCTGTGACCCCCAGGTGTGTGTGTGTGACCCACCCCCAGGTGTGTGTGTGTGACTCCCCAGGTGTGTGTGTGACCCCCAGGTGTGTGTGTGACCCCCTAGGTGTGTGTGTGTGACCCCCCAGGTGTGTGTGTGTGACCCCCTAGGTGAGTGTGTGACCGGCCCCATTGCTTTGTGTGTGACCCCCACCAGGTGTGTGTGGGTGACCCCAGGTTGTGTGTGTGTGAGCCCTCCCAGGTTGTGTTGTGAGACCCCCGGTGTGTGTGTGTGGAACCCCCCAGGTGTGGTGTGGGACCCCCAGGTGTGGGTGTGTGACCCACCCCGCCCAGTTGGTGGGTGTGTGACCCCCAGGTGTGTGTGTGACCCCCAGGTGTGTGTGTGACCCCCAGGTGTGTGTGTGTGACCCCCCAGGTGTGTGTGTGACCCCCAGGTGTGTCCCCCCCCAGGTGACCCCCCCTGTCCCCCCCAGGTTCGAGTCCCTCCGGGCCCGTTTGGCGGCGGCGGCGCTGTGGCTGCTGAGCCGCTGGGGGGCGCTGCCGCACGGGGAGCAGCTGCAGAGAGTCCTCCGGGCCTGAGGGGGGCGCTGCAGGAACCCGAAACCGCCCCAAATTACCCCAAAAATTCACCCCAAAAATAAATCCTGAGTGGAACAGCTGCAGAGACTCCCCCGGGCCTGAGGGGAGCGCCGGAGAATCCCAAAGCCGCCCCAAATAACCCCAAAAATTCACCCCAAAAATTCACCCAAAAATAAACCGTGAGTGTTGCAACTGCAGAGAGTCCTCCGGGCCTGAGGGGGGCGCTGCAGGAACCCGAAACCGCCCCAAATTACCCCAAAAATTCAGCCAAAAATAACCCCCGAGTGGAGCAGCTGCAGAGAGTCCTCCGGGCCTGAGGAGGGCGCTGCAGGAACCCAAAACCACCCCAAATTACCCCAAAAATTCACCCCAAAAATACACCCAAAAATAAACACCGAATGGAGCAGTTGCAGAGACTCCCCCGGGCCTGAGGAGGCCCCAGAGACACTCGAAAACCCCCAGAATTGCCCCAAACCCACCAGGCTGCTGCTCCAGGGGTGTGCCAGGAACACCCCTGAACACCCCAAAAACGGAGCAAAGCCCCCCCAAACCCCTTCCAAAACCCCACAAGTGCCGCCCCCAGAGTACCAATGAACCCCCCGTGACCCACGGACACCCCGGGAACGGCCGTGGGGGTTTGGGTTTTATTACAAATGTGCACTTTGGGGGGATTTTGGGGTGGGAGTGGGGGGGAATTGGGGGTCCCGAAGCCCCTCAGAAGTGGGCCGTGACTCGGTCGATCTCCAGGAGGTCGTCCAGGATCTCTGGGGCGGGAGGGGGGGTCAGGGATCATCACCTGCCCCAGCCCACCCCAAATCCCAGTCCTACACTTGCTTCCCAAACCTGTCCGACCCGAAACCTGTCCGACCCCAAACCTGTCCGACCCCAAACCTGTCCCACCCCAAACCTGTCCGACCC